CAGATTCAGAAGCCTTTAGGTAAAGAATCGTATATTGTTCTTGGATGAAACTTTAAAGAAAATTTGAGTATGCTTGTTAGTCAAGAGTCTTTGCTGAACTTTATTTTGAAAGGGGTGTCTTTCAGGTAGTTTGATGCAGTCACCAGAGGTTGTGATTGTTAGATATCACTGAGGTGATTTAGGGAGTGAGATATGTTTCTCTTATCTTAGATGGGGTTCTGAGATAAAGATTATATTGAGTAGTGATTAGGTAAAATGAAGGTTGTTTACCTATAAATCTGTGGTTGTTTACATAATGGGTCATCATATCTTTGTGTTATTATCATTCTGCATTGTTCAGTTTTATCTTGTTGATTAACATGTCATATAAGATGTTGGATCATCCATCACGACGTTGTTCCAATAAGTATTATATTATTATGCTTTATCAAGTCCAGATGTTGTTACGTAGAGATCTTTGTCTCAACATGTGTTAGAACATTGTTATCTGCACTCCAGAATTTCAGTAATATATATTAGGATGGGAGTGCTGATGATAGAAAGAGTACATCTAGTGGATGATTCTTTCTTGACAATAATTTAATCTCATGGTTCAGTGAGAAACATAATTGTGTCTCATTAGCTATTGAACAAGTTGAGTACATTGTTGCAAGGAGCAGTTGCACTCAATTTCTCTGGATGAAAAAGATGTTGAATGAGTATAATATTAAACCAGATGTCATGACATTATTCTGTGATAACTTGAGTGCTATTAATATTTCAAAGAATCATGTCTATCATAGTAGAACAAAGCACATTGACATTCATCATTATTTCACCAGGAAACTTGTGGAAGATAAAACTATAAACCTTGAGCATATAACAACTGAAAAATAGTTAACCGACATATTCACTACAACCTTGGATTTAACTCAGTTTGAAAAACTAAGGGGTGCTTTTGGTATTTTCATATGTGAAATTTTTTTAGCAATCAATGAATGAGAGGCGTGCAATATAAAGACATTTTCTCTCTCTTAAGATCATTGTTGCACGTGAAATAAGGTTGATTATTCTCATTTCAAATATTATTTATAACTGGTCCATTGTTACAAATAAGAACAATATTTATCTCTACCTATTGTTCTCTCAAATCTTTTACTTCTCTTTTCTCTCAAGTTCTTCCTTTTTTTTTTCAAATATGAGTCAAAAATTTGAAGAAGCTAAGGCATCTACTAGGAAGTCTAGGGTTTCTGAGTCAAAGAAGAATGGCCTAGAGAATAATGAAACGAAGACTGTACCACATGCTGCAACATCTGGTGAACCATCTATTGGAACATGTGTGACTGTTAAAAAGTATGTGACAAATATGAAGTCCTTGAAACGAAAGCATGTTCAAACAAGTGATTCTGACTCAGATGTTGATGAAGACTGAGTCAGTTTTCTATCATCGGGTGGAAGGTTTGAGTAGTGAAGTTGGAGGTCATGTTTGATTTCAGTTATTTCAGTTTGATTATGTTCCTTTGGACCTTGTATTTGGGCATGTTATTTGCTTTCATTTGCTGGTACATAATGGTTCTTTATCATTGATAATGGTTATGCTATGACAATAGTTCTCAGTTATGACTATGGCTTGTTAGTTTTCTCTAGTTTCTTAGGTTTTATAACTTTGCTAAATTATGGAAAAAAGGGGGAGTGTTTTAGTAGGTATGTTCTGTGATATGTTTTTTTTAATAATTGCTCGTCTAAGCTTAGGATTGATTTGATCTTTTAAATTGTAGCAACCACCTTGCATGTTATGTGTGCTACTTTTGTTGCCGCGGTGTGTGGAGTGCTACTGTGTGCTCAATTTTGTGCTCACGTGATGGAACTTATGTGAGTAGGAATGTAAGTTTTTTTAGCCAAAATTTTCCAAATCTGTTGAAGACCCTACACATGGAGCGCTATATATAGAGACTCATTCCTAACAAAGAAATCACACAAGTATTGAAGATCTAGTGGTCTAAGGTTTTGTTCTTTGAGTCTTTGTATTCTTGTTGTTTATTGTAATCCTCTAAAGAAGCCTAACCTGAATATTCAAGGCATATAGTTTGATTGTTATTTGAGTTATAATTTAACATCCTCAATCTCTTGAAAGCTTAATATCACTAGGGTAGTTATTGAGAGAAAGTGGAAGGAATTCTCATATTTAGGAGGAGTTCTAAATAGAAAGACATTGGTAGTATTAGCTAGAAAGCATTAAATAAGAGTTGCTCATCTAAGACTAATTATACTAATCCTATTGAGAATGAATTTCCTTTCTTGGATTAGAAGTTCCACAGACATAAGTGATGTTACACCGAATTGGATTACCAATTCTTTTGTGTCCTTTATTGCTTTATGATTTATCATATATTTTTTATTACGTGTCAATTCTAGTCTAAGATGTTGAACATATTATCTTAGACATCATGTCCAATATCTATCATGCATAGAACAAAATTTCAAAATCAACAAGTTCAATTATTAGTAGTCTCACTTTTTAATGTAGCATTTCATCGGTTCTTAAATTTTTTTTAAGCTACAATTTATTCATAAATACATTTAATTAATTTTTTTTATAATTTCATATTTAATATAAATTTTAAACGACTTTTCATGGGCGTGAGTCCAATTCTATATAGAATCAATCCAACCCACAAGTACCTACAAGGATTCATTTTATTGTCTTTTTCAAACTTATATAAAGACTAGTGTTTTTAGTAGAAAAAATGATGTGGAACTTCTTTCCCCCTCTTTTTATGAAATTCTACAACTCTGAATTTTCCACAACTCATTTTTATCATTTGTGTTATAATTATCTAAACTCAAAATGTCAAGTCCCCACTTTGGACATGGTGCTAGGGTTTTGCAGACATAACAGTGGCACTGCATATCATCTACAACAAATATCAATGAGAGTGACAAAAAGGATAATTTAAGGGTATCAAATAAGCTAAAGCAAATCTAAATTTAAACATAGTCCAAAGTTTGATATTTAGTTGTTTTTTACATGTCCACAATATCGACATATTCTTGCAATAAGCAATAAAAAGTGTTAAAATAGTAAATTTGGGAAGATAAATAAACAACTACAAAATTAGAAGCAAAATAGCAAGATGCACTAAAACCAAATGCCTCAAACCCATGCAGTACCTATACTTGTAATTCATAGTAGCAGTCACTCGATATATAACTCGACAATCTTTTGCAGGTTGCACTCACTGGTTCTACTGAAACCGGCTAAATTATCCTTCAACTGCCAGCCCAAAGAAATCTTAGTGAAATAATAATAAAATAATCAATTAATTATTCTATGAAAAAATTAAATAATAAATTATCTTAGTGAATATTGTCAATTCATTAAAAATAAAATTTTCGAATGGAATGTGTATTTAAGTCTATATAATATAAATAACATTATTTTGATATATTGCATCCTAAACTAATAGTTTATATCTCTTTAACTCAATTCATCGTTATATATATATATATATATATATATATATATATATATATATATATATATATATATATATATATATATATATATATATATAACTTAAGTAATTCTTATAACTAACTCAAGTGAATTGTAATCTTGAATTCATCATCGTAAAGGTTTGATTTTGAATTTATTCTATACTATATTTATAGTAAAGATTAAGAAACACTTTTCATATATAATAATTTAGGGTTAGCTAAATGACAGCTTTGATTTTTCTATTTTGACCAACTCACGAAATTAATTTTTTTTATTTATTTTTTAAATGGTTTTAATCTTTTATTTCTATTTTTCGTCTAAAAAATGTTGATGTGTTATTTTTTATATATAAATGACATATTTTTTGAGAAAGAACATAGAGAGCATTTTCTAGAAAACAAAGAAGACGATCGAATAAATTGAGATAGAAAGAAGATAAAGAAGTCGATCGAAGAAGACGACTGAAGGAAGAGAATGTCTTTGAAAATGCAATAAACAATTAACCTTTCTTATGTCAAGTCAATAAAAATATGTCATGTATCTAAAAAATAGTATATATCAAGATTTTTTAACCGAAAAATGGGCATGAGACCAAAATTGTTTTAAAAAATACAGAAGGACTAATTTTGTGAGATGAAAAATAGATTGACATGGAGGTGGAAATATGCCAAGACCCTCTCAATAAAAAAAATATAGAAAAAAAAAAGAAAGATAAACCTAACCTATTTTTTACCTAGTTTTGTCTAATATCTACAGGTAGAGAAACAAAATATGTGAGATGTAGATGTGTGGCCTATATTAACAAAAACAATTTTCATAACTATTTCATTCTTTAAATATGCATGTAATGAAAAAGGACATGTCCAAAATAATTTCCTATATCTGAAAATACCCTCACTGCCAATTGTAGAGGGACTCATAATGCAAGCCCTATCCACGTTAAACTTAATCTGATTCTCCATAGGAGGAGTTCAAAGAACTTTATGGATGGAGAGAGCACTAGGAGGGTGAATTGAGATATTAAAGGTGTTGATAGTAGAGAAATCCTCCAATCCACCCTTAAAGGTCATTTTAGTGTTAAAACTAATGTAGGATACCCGAGAGAAAATTTTATTAAAAACCAAATATCATTAATCAAATAGATGATGGCAGCCTTCAGAGCGATAATGCATTTAGCGAATCATTTTACTAAGATGGAACATTTTACTAATAATCTTTGGCCAAAACATTTGTTTATTAAAAAAATGTACTATAATTAGACTTAACTTATCATGGTAGAGAAACAATTATTCTTATTTATTATATATAGAGTAAAAAATAAATGAATGAAAAATAGTATGTTCAAAACAACAAATTTTATTCCACCCACAAATTTATTCATTTAAATAAATTGAAATATTTTAAAAACAAACAAGTACATAATAATATTTATTGAATGATATTGAATATCAATATGTAAAATACTAATCTATCAAGCTAGAACGATGAAGTTTGGGTGGAGGTTTTGTAATGCGGTAGCATCTCATCCGAAATGATTGGTGTTGGAACTCATCTTGTTGATCATTTCAGAAATAGATCTTTCAGTATTGAGTAAGCCTATATCACTTTTAGCCACATGTCCAGACTCACATTCTATCAGATCATTGGTCATCAAAGAAATATTTTGAGATGCAGTGTTTACAAAAGAAGTAGCCATCAAAGTAACTGAACTTGATGCCATTAGAGGGGGCATGACAATTCCCCCAATCACCTGCCCTGACGTTCCCATTAAGTGAACTACCAATTCTCCTGCACTTGATAGTGTTTCTGAAGGAAAAATTGTCCCTGATATCGAAAGTATCTCAAAATTTCCCTGAAGGATTTCAATATTTCCTGTGGGTTGAAGAAGCCTAACATGCGTTACTATTCCATTTCCACAGAGGATACTGATGCCCCTCCCTTGACGACGAGCGTAATCGAAGAGACTGAGTGACACGTCAGATCCAGAAGTGATCTCAAGGATATGAGAATTTAGTGCATTTGGATTATCATATTTTTCTATGATAGGCATTTTAGGTTTGTTTTTGGAGCCAGGTGGACGTCCTGGAGGACGACGACCGAGAGTGGAGGATGATGCTTGGTGGTTGTTGTGTGACATGCTATCACTTTCTAGTGTTTAGAGTTGTAATTTTAGTATCTTATTTTTTCCAAACCTTTCCACCTTTTAAAATAGTATTGAATAACCTAAATTATTATTTTTATAGATATTTTAACTTTTATGTTTTAAAGTTAAAAATTATGTATGGTTTTGGAAAAACTATGGGAAAATAGAACATTCTAATAAATAATGATGACCAAAAGAAAAATGGATTATATATAACATTTTCTTTTATATATTTATACAGCTCACAAGATTCACACACTTACCCCCCAAACAATACTTGTTACTTTATTCTATTACATTTAGTTTTTCTTTTTGACCAATATATTTCACTCACTAAAAAAACAAACTAAATCATTTCATCTATTTATTACATATATAAATTAATTTAATTCATCTTTAAAAGTTTTTTTTAGGAAAAGTAATACAATATAATTTGTTTTAAAAATAATTTTTAACACAAAAATTATTAAAAGAGGACTGTCTCTCACAATATTAAACATAATTCAAATGTTTTTGTAATATTGTATTAAGTTTAAAAAAAAAACTTCTTATTACTTTTATACTATTGCTTAAAAATACCACTACAAAAAAAAGAAATATTAGTCAGGGATATTTGTGAGGTGTTTTACCTCTCATTAAAATCAGCATTTTCGTGGGGTTAAACCTCTCGCAATTGGCAAATCAAAAAACAAAATAAAAAAATTAATGGCGTGGGAAAATTCATCGCAAAACATGAGAAGGGAATTTTGAATTTTAAAAGTTTCAACCGCTTTACATTTTGCGAGGAGTAAAACAACACAAAATTAAATAGTAGTATTTGCTTGGGGTAACCCCTCGCAAATTTCCACTAGTGGTCAGACTGTCAAAATTATTTTTGTAATTTGCGAGGGACATCCTCTGTAAAATTCTGAACGTTAAGTTTCCGAGGAGCATCCCCTCGCAATTGACACTATAGTATAGTCAAATCAGGCAGAACATGTGCAGGCGTGCATGCTTTAGAAACATAAAATGCATTTTGCGAGGGGCACCCCATGACAATTTGTAACCGTTAGATTTGTCACGGGTGCCCCCACACCATTTTCATTATATATGTAAATCTGATGTCCTTCTCTTTCTTCCACATTTTCTGTCCCTTGCATATTTTTCCTTCCCCTTTCATTTCAGTAATATTATCTCCTTCTGTTTCTTCCAATATTCTATTGTTTCTTCATCTTCTCTCCTTAAGGTAATTTTTTATATGATTTTATATTTAATTTATATTATTTTATTTATATAACATATTTATTAATAATTTTAATTTTCGCTTTTTTATTTCAGGTTTTATTGTGTTCATCTTCAAATTTACGGTGTTCATCTTCATATTTACGGTGTTTATCTTCAAGGTACCAAAAAATTATGTTTTGTTTATTTATTAAATGACTTTGTGATATAATTATTGTAAAACTTTTCTGTTAAATATTATTTTTTAAACACAGTTTTTATGATATAACTGTTTAAATATAACTAAAAATTAATATGAAAAATTTTATAATTTATTTTAAAAAACATAATAAATAATAATAGTTAAAAATTAAAACAATGTTTAAAAAATAATAATATAAAATAGTTTAAAATAATAGGTAAAAAACAATTTAAATATATAGTTTAAAAATAGTATATTTTTTAATACGATTTTTTGTTAAATATTTAGTTAAAAACAGTTTTATAAAAAACATTATTAAAAACAATTTTATAAAAAAATAGTATTAAAAATAGTTTTATAAAAAACAGTATTAAAAACAGTTTTATAAAAAACAGTATTAAAAAACAATTTTATAAAAAACAGTATTAAAAACAATTTTATAAAAAACAGTTTTATAAAAAAAAGTATTAAAAACAGTTTTATAAAAAATAATACTAAAAAAGAGTTTTATTAAAATATCAAATATTGTTATAGAAAAAACAGAATTCAAAATATTATCAATTTTAAAAAAAATGGTATAAGAAAGATTAATAAAATAATAATAATGTGTTTTTATAAATTAAGTTTATTAATATATTATATTTTTATTTTGAGAAAATATTAATTTGGGAGAATGAAATTAATTTTTAAAGTTATAATATGGTAAATATATTTATATATTCTTTTAGTATAATAAGTTACTTATTATGAATAATATAATTTATGTTTAGTATTAAAAATAAGTATATGTTTTAATATACTTTTATGTGTGTTAGTAAACATCATAATATTTATTTAAAAAATAATAAGTAAATATAGCTTTTAAGAAGAAAGAAAGTATTTTTTAAAATATATCATATGATAAATATATTTATATAGTATTTAATAATTTTAGAGAAAAAATCTATTTTTTAGAAGGTATAATATAGTAAATATATTTATATACTCATTTAAAAAAGATATCCCTAAAAAACTATTTTTTTAGAAGGTACAATAAGTAAATATATATAATTTAGAGAAAAAAAATTATTTTTTAGAAGGTGTAATATGATAAATATATTTATATACTCATTTAAAAAAGATATCCCTAAAAAGTATATTTTCATGATTAAAAATATGTTTAAAAAGTATTTTAATTAGAATAAATAGGTAGATATATTATTTGGTGAAATATATATTTAAAAAGTATGGTTAAATAAATTTCAAAAACATTATTAAAATTAGGTAGATATATTGTACAAATAAATGTTTAACTATAGTAGATATATTGTATTGAATATTATGAAATCTATAATTAGTTTTATGATTTTTTCGACAAAAAATTAAAAAAAATTTGTTAGATCAATCTCCATTTTATTCAATAAAATTAAACAAGATCGATGTTGTACATGTGCAGTATGGAATATTATCAATTTTATCGTAGTTGGATGTATGATAGAATGTTTCCTGGAAGACGCGGGCTTAAACCGCATTTTAAAGAAGGAGTTGTCGGGTTTCTCTCGTATGCGTTTGGTCAAGAATGTTATCGAAGTGAAGGAGGGGGTAAGGTGTGAATTTTTTTTTTGCAATAACCAGGTATTAAAAAATTCGCAAATAACCATGTTTCGGAAAAAATTATGCAAATAATCATGTTTCAGATGACTCCCCAAAGGAGGAGCCATCTCACTTGGCGCCTACACCTATTATTAAAGGGGAGGCTCCATCTCACTTGGCGCCTAGGTGCTTAGGGCTTGCCCTAAGCCAAGTGAGATGGCGCCTTAGTGCGTTTCTAGGGTAATTTTCGCGTTTTTTTTTTCAATCTGGTGCGTTGCGTATTCGATATAGGATCAACAAAATTGACTTTTTATTTACAAAAAATGATTACACCCATAAGTATTACATAAAAAAAATACAGATTAAAAAAAAACAGATTAATCAGTGGTCCCCCGGAACCCGGTAATGACCCTCGGTTCCGCATCTCCGTCCTCGCCTTTCCCGTGCTGGGTGTCGTCGCGTTTCCTGTTGTGGCAGGGTCGACGGCCCAGCGAAGTCAATGCGTTCCGGATCCATGAAATCAGTCAGATCTCCATATCTAGAAGATCCGCTTTGGTACAGTCGGTTACCCATACCCTCAAAGTTTGGTCGTGTTGGCCGTGGGTGGGGTTCCATGGTGGGTCTGTAGCATTGATCGTCTGAGTACGGGGGGTAGAAAGGAAATGGATCTTGGGGTGTTTGGTATTGAGGATGTTGGGTGGTTTGGTGATACTGTGGTTGATGGTAAGTTAGGTCGGTTGGTTTATAATCTTCCGACATTCCTAGATCAGGGCTAAGGCTGGATGTTGAGGGGCCCATATTGGGATATACAGAAGACTGAAATTGTGTGTGGGGTATGCGGGTGTGTTGGTATTGTGATTGGAATTACGGTTGGGTGTGAGGCATATGGGGGTATTGGTACTGAGGTGGTGATTGTGGTTGGTTGTGGGGCATTTGGGTGTAATTGTGTTGTGGTGGCGACTGTGGTTGGGTGTTTGTGGTTCTGTTTCGTTTGGGGGGTTGGTGGGAGGTTGATGTGTGTTGGGTTTGTTGTTGGGAAAACGAGGGTTGTGCCCATTGTGTTCGTGGGTCAACCAAATACCTTGGATGTCACACGTGCATTTCAGGGTTACTAACCGATCTGTACCAAGATAAATACTGATCTGTGTGTCGCATATTACCATGATTGAGGAAAACTGGGAATTGCAAGACATGTCGGTGACGCCTCTGCCACATCTTACACCATTATGGAGCAAAGTCTTTCCAGTTGGTAAGACCCCACTGGGCGTCGACCCTTTTGAGATGCCACGGGGACAAACAAGTCGGATCACTGGGTATCTCTTGATGCATTCCAAACTGCATCTTCACACGGTCGCTGTGGTGCATCTCCACAACATTGAACCGTATGATTGCAGTCTTGACGCTCCAAATTGTTGCATCCTCGGGGTTTGGTTCATGGCCCAAACCCAAATATGGTCTCCAAACAAACTGCACATAAAATTAAATCAGGTTAATGAAAACGTAATATATAAATAATTTAAAAGTAGAAAAGTTGAAAGGTACGACGTACATCATCCGGGCCAGGTGATCCAATAGATTGCGGTATAGCGCGACATTGAATCTTGGATTATTGTCGTAATCCATACCCCTCACGCAATACCTAAAGGAAATGAAAAATATTTTATTTTTAGCATATATTTGGTGAAGAGATGAACAGTAATAAATGATATAACTTGATGACTTACTTTGTTGCGTATGGGAAAATGAATGTGTTGTTGTTGACGGGGTTTAGGGACTCCATCCTCCACCAACCCCAGGCTTGAAGTAAAAAAGTGCAGCCATAAAATATACATTTTTCCTTGATTGCATTTTTGCACAAGGAACTGTATAGATGGGCTAAAACAGCAGAACCCCAACTATACTTTCTAGTTTTTTCGAAATCTCTAAGTAAATTTCAATACATAAAATTTACACTATTTCCCGTACTTTCGGGAAATAAAAAGGTTCCAAATAGTATCATTAGATAAGTTCTATATTTTAT